CTGCAGAGGATGGGGTTCTTGCAGCCTCCAGAACGTGTTCTCACCGTTGGCAGTGTCCCCACAGGCACAAGGCATGTCACTTCTCAGGCTCAGCAGAGACAGGAAGAACATTTCACAAGCAGCAGGAGCCTGGGACATGAACTCAGCACTTTCTTTGCCTCCAAACTCAGTGGCCTGGCTCAGTGGTACAGTGAGGGCTCCTGCTCCATGCCTGCTGCACACAGAGCACAGGAGCACACACAGGGCACCTCTGAGTGTTTCTTAGTACAACTTTTTTTCTGTCTTTATTGGTTTACTCTTAAAACTAACAGGGAATCATTTTCAGTTAAATATGTGTCCAAAAGTCCCTTAAAGAGACAGTGCTCAGCCTGAAAGCTGCTGTTTCAGAACTCAGTGTCCAGCCTCTAACTTGCTTTTTACCTTCAAACTCAAATTAAGACACTCTCAGAAAGAAACTTAGCTTCTTTCACTATTTTTAGGATGTTGTATATCCTCTCCTTATAGCATTGGATTAAATGTTGGCTTATGGTTCAGTACAAACTTTAATCAAAACACCCTTCCTAGCAGTAAAGCGATGTTTGTGGTTTGGTATTAGGCTGAGTTGAAACAGAGAGGGATGCCAAAGTGGTCACAGCAGGACGAGGAGAAGAAGGAGGTGTTTAGAGTAAGTGAGGGTGTAAAGGATGAAAGGACAGAGTTTTGGGATATTTGTTTAGTCTAGAAATGAGTGAGGGAAAAGATTGTTGGACAACAGCTGTTCTGTGGTGGGTTTCTCATGATGGATGGCACAGCGTCAGGCGGGACCTGGGGAAAGCTCTGTGCCAGGTTTGCAGCAGGTCTGTGATGGGTGAGCTCAGGTTCATCAGGTTTATGTTTCCTAAATGAAGGCATTGCAGTGTTCTCTTTTGCAATGGCTTTGAGATGTGCTGAAGGAAGAGGGACTAGAAAATCAAGGTGTTACTTAGCCAGAGGCACTGAAAGGCAGCATTTTTTAACTCCTAAGAATTGCTTTCACAATGACTTTTTTACACCTTTCTTTTTATATGGAGTGTAATTATCTTGTGGGTGTTAATTACTGAGGTCTGGAGTTCTGTGGGGTGCATTATCCACCTTTCCATTACGTTTAGGAGAGATGTAAACCTCATGGTCCAGAATGTGAAGCAGCCATTAGTGACTCAGACTGGGAGGAACCTCTTCAGTGAGGCACATACTCCGTAACTCTCCACGCAAAGGATCCAGCCCTCTCATTTGAGGTATTTGGATCAGGCACTGTCAAGGCAGGATTAGACAGACTAGAGCCAGGGTAATCCACTGCTCATCATCCTTATGGCAACACCAGCCCAACAAACCCAGAATAATACTGTTAAATATGACTCTGAACAGTCCCAAAGGGAATTAATTAAGAAACACCAGCCTATTCCTAGGTGTAATCCAAGCCTTAGAAACCTGAGAAGAGAAGATTTAGAACATGATAGAGATTGGGCAGAAGTTTCTTTTCCACTGGGTCTCTTAACCTCCAACTCCAAACTTCACAGCAGTGCCTGCGGAATGGGGGTACCAGTTGTAATCCCCTGCATTTCCTCTGGCAGATGAGCACTCAGTTTATATCCAGCAGAGTTGTGAGGGCTGAAGGTTGCTCTTGGAGTCTGGGGCATAGCAGGATCTGTGCAGATGTGTGGAAGCTGGTGTTGGTCTGTCAAGCAAACAATGCCTGTGCCATGGCTGTAACCACACTGCAGAAAACACACTTCTGCAACAGTGCCTGAGGCTCTGCTCAAAGGTTGCTCCTATCTTCCTACTCAGTGTGGTTCCCTGCTCCTAATCCCTTTTTAATATGTGGTGCTACGTATTTTGCAACACTTCCATTGTTGGAGTATGACTGTAATACCCAAACCCACTGCCTCTGCTTGCCAGATACCTGGGTTGGAAAGCCAGGCTCTCAGATAATGCTCCTGCATCTTACTCAGCACTCCTGTTCCCTCCCACAAAACCTGTTTCACCCCAAGTGTCAGGATGATAGAGATGTGTTGTGTCCTGATTCCTCTGACTCCCAGCCTATACCCCACCGATTTTCCACTGTTAAGGTGGACAGATTTTGTTAATAATTCTATTTTCTGATGTATGTCCTCATATAAAAGGTCACACTCTCTGCCACTGAATGCAGAGGAATGATAAGTGATCTTTAGTCTATTTATTATTTATAGGATTAGCAAAAGGAGGACAAAAGCAGTGAATATTTTGAAACTGCTTCCAGGGCATTAAAGATTCAAATGAAAAGTGGGCACTAATGAAGAAACGGCTCCTGAGGTAAATCAAGAGGAAGAGAAGCCTTCAGGAAGGTGAAGCTCCAGCACAGGTGCTGGGCACTGATGCCATCTATTGGCGAGACACCTACCAGAGCTGGCACCCAGCGCCCGGTGTCTGGGAGGGAGGAAAATCACCTTCTGGGAGCCCTGGAATCGGGATGAGATCTCTCTGACCACCACGGCAGAAGCTCAGAGGCAGCAAACCCTGCAGGAGCCTAAAGCAGTGTCACACTCACAGTCAGCTCTGCCCAAACCTTTGAGCTCAGAGGAGGATGTTTCTGAGATGGGAATTCCCTTTGTGTGATTTCTATCAGTGCTGTGGGAAGTCCCCTGCGGAGCCTGTGGTCCTGGTGATGCGAGAAGAAACCACGTCTTGGGCTTTTACTGTTACTGCTCTGTTCATATTTCTTTTTCAGAAGTGTGAGTAAATTGGGTTTAGAGAACCTCAGTCATCACTTTCAACAATTGCTCCTGGATCTTTTAAACTCCCCCTTTTGGAAGTGAGTGCAAGAAACTGAACCATGTTCCTGGAGGGCAAGTCTAACCTTTAATCAGGAGCATCGAGGCAGGGACACAGCCAGTGTTTCCTGTGCTGTGAAGAAAGCAGCCAGCGACTGTAGGAAGGCTCAGGGCTGTGCACGAAAGCCTCCCCAAACGGTGCAGCTGCCTGGTGCCAGCAGTCGGCACTGGTCCCCCTCCTCCCTGGCTGCTCTGAGTTACATCCAGCACTACAATCACCAACCTTGGCTTAGAAGACTGAAGGTAATACCCTAGTGTGGCTGTTGCAGTCCTACTCTGAGAAATATGGTGCCAAATAAAAGGAAATGTGAAAGGAACTTGGCATTAAATTAGCAATAGAGGTCCCCTGCAGGAGATAAAAAGTGACTCATCTGTATTAAATTCCACTTAAATGTTGGCACTTGTAGTTTCCCGTCTCGGGAGTCCTGGTTAGTAGCTTTCAGCTTTCACACCTAGCAGTGCTCGTGGAAATTAATACCATCAGTATATACCATCCTCCACTGCTGAAACTCCTTTTTCTATCTGACTGAACCAACTTGTGCCCTGCCTCAGCTGTGGGGTTAGACTGCATCATAGCAGTGATTATGTGTCAGGTTCCCATGACTTGGTTCTTTTCCTGGACCGAAAACGTGTCTCTGCTGCTGATGGGCTGGATTTCAAGGGGGGGTTTCCTCTGAGAAACAAAAATGGGTGAGGATGATGCTAAACTGGATGCCTGTTTCTTGCCTGATTTAGATGCTCTTTGATGGCCAGCACAGGACATTCCCTAGCAGCATTCCCAGTTCTGCTTCTTTTTGAAGACTCTGTTCTGCTGTGGCCTGGACCTTGGATATTTTTGTCTACTTAGGAACTTTCATCACCAGTGGGATTTCTTGGAAGTGCTCTGCTGGAAAACCAAGTGCTGATTTGATCTTGTGAAGTGCTGCCAAGCAATATTAGCAGTTTTAACTTCCCTGCTGTGGCGTCATCCCTCATTCCCTCTGCAAGGAATCTGCAGAGACAGAGCTGCTCCATCTTCTCAGTTCATGGGGAACCATTTGCTGCCAGTCTTCAGGAGGAAACCACACTTCCTCCATGGCTGGAACAACTTCAGAGTGTCTTAAGGCAAAAGCCACAGCCCCTGAAAAACCACCTTCTCGAGTGCCAGGGCTGCAGGTTTTGGGAAGCATGAGCACATGGTTGAGCTGAGGAAGAGGAGGAGGAGAA